GCGCGGAGCCAGGAAAAGGATCGAGAAAGACGAATGGAAGTGAAAGGAAGTAGAAGAAGGAGAGGAGAAGGAGGGAGAGGACGATCACGGCGCACCGTCGATATATAGGGGTGTGAGCTGACTTTTTGTACTTATTCTGATTTTTCAGCTGCTTTTTTCGTTCGGCCGTGCCGTGTGCCTCGCGCGCCTCAAAACCCGCCAGCTTGGTTGCGCCGTGATGGGGCCCACTGGAATGTGGGAAGGGGTCCCTCGGGGCCCGAGGAAGGGTCCGGGTGGGGGCACGTACCAGTCGGACCGGCTTTAACCCATGGTGGGACTGAGAGCGAGGGACGACCCGGCCACGAGGAGAGAAGACTGCGGTATGCAGAAAGACCTCAAGATTAGTCAAGAGTTTCAGACTCGTTTAATGTTTATGCAACTTCGAGCCCGCGCCCTCCGTCCCTCTCGCTCTGCCGTCTTTCCACCGTCCTAATAATTCTCTTTCCTCGTCCTCACCTACATACATCCTCGTTTCTCCCTCTTACGTTCTATGCGCGTAATCTTCCATTTCCATTCCACCACCTGTACACCTCATCGCGTAGCTATTACGCATGCGCGTCTACTGTGACGTAGACGATACACGAATCAAGTATTGGCGCGCACCCACGTACATCGGGAATGCACTTGAACCGTCAACAGCAAATGGCAATATTTCTGGTGATTACAAGTACAAGGACCGCGTCGTGTCTACTGCTCTTTACTCCTTAAGCACCTCCGACATCCTCGCCGCATTCGGATCCTTGATCCTGCCACGTGAGTCGTCCCGTTTCCATCGAAAGCGATAAAGAATATTGGATTTCAGGGTACGCGAATTCCTCGCCAGCGACGAACCAGCCTGCTCGGCCCTTCGCAAATCGCATTCAACGTGTCCGTACCTCGATTTCGCGTATCCGCATAAAGTTACACGCTCCTCAGCCGAATTCCATTCGAAATTCGAATTACCAAACGCACTCAATGTCGACGAGATTAACGAAAGCCCGCGCGATATCGGCGCGATCCTTGAATTCCATGAAAAACCACCAGAAAGATTTCGCTGTCCTCATTTACGAAACACGATACCTAATGGACTCGCATGACCTTGCTCAATACAAGGTATACACCTGTCATAAATCCTCATCGGAAAAATGGCAGAAAAGAACTGTGGCGTAATTCCACAACAACAACAAAAGGTACAGAGAAAACAAGCACGGAATCATAATAAAATGCTCGAGCAAAGAATAAACAGCGTTTCTCAATCGTAATCGTACGTAAATTATATCTCTTAAATATAACCACCACCCTACCCCCCAAAAAAAAAAGTAAAAATAATCAAGTAAAACAGCAGCAACAAATATACAGGGAAATTGTCAAATACAAATAAAACGTATTACTCACCGGACAGTATAGCCAGACCAAATAGTTCGCAGTCTCGCATGCCCTGCTGACCAAGAAGCACGCATGTCTGCGCGTAAACCTCCTTTACCCTCGACTTGGCCTAAAACACGATTAGAAATACGTTTCAGTCGCAGCACAGCAATGGCACGATACAGCAATCGGAACTATTGGCAGAAAGTTGTTAAGAGAAGAAAAAAAAACAGTAAGCTGCAAAAAAAACAGTTAACGACGCTGTCTACAGCACAGGCGCATTATTTTTCTGGAATGTCGTAGTCCGTAAGGTGAGCGAAAGTGAAAAGCTCTACGTGGCGCAAACCCAGGTATACATGCCACGTGTAATTAACACGTGCTACCAAGAGTGGTGGGGTGTCTCCAGGCCACTCTCTGTGGACACACGTGGGCGCTAAGAGTTAGCACCTGCAATGAGTTTGTATATCCACCTAAGCACACCCCGCGTTCGCTGCGCTTCCCTTGATATCGCTCGTGTACCTAAGAGTAGTTACACGACGCATGGAATTCTGGGAAACCATGACCTAGCTCAACACTCGGAAGGCCTACACAACAAGACTTGCCCGCGCGGGCCACGCATTCAGTCACGCATGCCAGAAGATTTCCGCACTGCCAAATAACTCTTCTCTGTTTCACTTTTGTTCTCTCTCTCTCTCTCTCTCTCTCTCTCTCTCTCTCTCTCTCTCTCTCCCATGATGCTCTGGAAAAAATTCACTGCAAGCACCAATAACATAACCAAACGAGCACACGTACCTATAGCAAGATCATAGGTGGAAGACTGTCTATATACATATATATATATATATATATATATATACGACGGTATAACGCTTGGAGTCCAGTCGTCGCGACGCACCGAAGACTCAACAGCCTATGTGCATAAGTAAGCGCACGTAGGTAATAACAGTGCGTGGACGTATGAATATTGCAAACGGTGAAAGCGTACCACATACCAGACTCGGTACACTTCTTGCGGGACTCACTCGCAATTTTGCGACGCGCTCGATCGCCCTTCAGGGTCGTGGCGCATTGCGAAATAATGTATGGTAGTAGTACCGACCTTATTGCACCACGAGGAATAAGAAATTAGATATCTTTCATTCTACTCCGTCCGAAGACGGTTCGTGACCTACAGCGCATATCAGACACACCTTCGATATAGCTATACCATATGCCTATCTAGTTCGACCCGCGTCAGGTTGATAATTTGGCGCGTCTGTTGCGCCTGGTCATAATGGCGACGCTGTCGCGTACCGTGTAATTACGGAAAAGTTTTCTACCGTAGGCGAAGCCATTGTTCGCTCGGTGAATTACAAATTGGATGCGAAGCGCGCGGGTTGCGTTTTGCGCGTGAAAAATAAAAAAAAAATGTAAGGAAAAAAAAAAGCCGCGAGACACCCACGATTATTTAAATCGCACTTTGCTTTGCTTTCGCCTCCGACTTATGGACGGCGAAGCAGATACGTAAATGCGAGCCGATACGTCGGATCGGTCACGTGGTCGTTTACGGTGAGACACACGCGGGATTCCATTGAATGAAATTCCACGTATGGTTTATGGAGATGTACAAGGAGAGAAGGGAGAGGGGAGAAGGGCAGGAATCCAACGGACGATACGGGATGACCGTTTCGGAATCCAAAGTCGATTTCCCAGATCGATCTTCGACACGTGGTACCGGCGAGCGATCGAATCGTCTCGAATTTAATACATCGCGTTGCCCGGCGCATTCCACTACCGGGGATTGTCTAAGCTAAATCTTGGCCGACTGTAAAATCTCCATTCGGAGAGTCCTGCGTGCCTGATTTATAATCGGAAGGAATCCCGGCATTCCACGGTTCCTCTCATTTATATCCATGCCCCGTCCGTAAGGTTCATCCAATTTATTCCCTTCGTCTGTACAAGACCAGAAGAGAATTCCAGTGTTACGTGTACGAGCACTGAGAAGCCGCATATTTTTCGGTACCATTGCCCATGCTTTACAGAGGATAACTGGCGTACCGAGAGTAAGTAAGGATCGACGAAGAAAGAAGAAAGAAAAAATAATAATAACAACAGTCCAACGCAGAATTGCATATGAATGACAATGGGAGATAAAATTTCTTTAAGAATCCTCCGCGTTCGGATACCTGTTGCCGCAATTCGTCCAATTCGTCGATGCAGGCACAAATAATATACGTATGTCCATAGACGCACGGATAACACGAGGCATCGCGGACGCATAGAAGGAGCCGAGGCAGAACGAGGAATTTCCTCGCCGAGCGGCAATCCAGATTTGTCCGTACAAATGAGCTCCGGTATAATTAGGTAGATCCTATCGTGTGAGAATGTACGCTATACCGCCGACATGCCTTAAGCCTACCTAACCTACCTATCGCACGGGGGGATAGGTGATTCTAACGATCCTACGGGGCGAACGCCGCGCACAAACGAGCCAACCGTACTTGTGGAAGCCTTGGCAATGACGCTGCCGTCATCGGCACGATCCACGTGTCCGAGGACTGTTAACAGCGAGCTGACTAACTTATGACTGAGCGACTGACTTACGTCGATGCACCTTGTGCATACATAATACAAATACAAAGTAACCATACCGGCAGATACTCCAGATATAAAGTAACCCTGACTAACTTCAAGTCAGACGCGGACCACGTGGAGTGCTATGAGAAGATCAAATTAAAGATCGATTAAGGTGAGTACCGAGTATCTTTAAGGTCTCGCGCATCATCCTGGGAACCAGGTACTAAAAACCCAGGGTAAGTATCTTGAACGCAATGTATAGACCTGCATATCTGTATATACACAGAGAGAAGGTAGTACGGTGCGTGAACTCCGGGTACATCCGGCACCTCATGGGAAGTACCGGAGAAGAGATGGTCCTCCGTGCATATACGTATGGTCTCGCTCGTCTCTCTCGAGTACCGTCATTTCCTCTTCGACTATGGAAATCGAGAAGCCTCACGCTAATGAGTTCGTTATCCAGGGCAATTAGAGACTTATTCCAGATCCGAGCATCACTCTCGGAGTTACGGCCAGATACGCGTGTGTATATATATATATATATATATAAATAATCGCCCAGGCTCTTGGACTCTTCTCGCGCGATCGCGTGCAATGAAAAAGAAAAGATATATCCAGGGTAGGAAGAAAGAAAGAAAGAAAAAAAAAAACGAATATCAGCGCAACAATAAGCTCTTAAACAATTCTGCGGCGGATCGCTTAGACGTGGATGCGGATCGCGAGTTAGTTTCAGCGAGGCAATGGCGTGGTAGATTATGGCGCGACGGTAATCCATCGGACGCGAGTGTCAAGTGTGTCATGCGCCGTGTAATGTGTGAAGGATTGCGAGAGTGGAGTACATTGGGAGAGAGAGAGAGAGAGAAGGAGAGCGAAAAAAAATGAAAGAGAGAGAGAGAGAGAGAGAGAGATTAACAGGAGGGATACGTGGAGGCATCTATGCCCAGCAGCTGGTACCCACGTGGCATTCACGACGGCGCGCAATGCTAATCTGACATTTATAAATCATGCGTGCTGCGTCGCACCAGAGCCTCTCTATCTCTCTCTGTCTTTCTCGTATATACAGCATCTCCCTCAAACAGTATCTCATTGTGCTCTATTCGGTTGCCGAGAGAGAGAGAGAGAGAGAGAGAGAGAGAGAGAGAAAAGAGATACGTCAAGCCGCGAAAATATTTCCATGAAACAGTGACGATTTTAGACGCGTCAATAAGAATTCTCCGGAAGAGCAAAGCTTCGACCTCGCTTCTACGTGTACGCCTACCCGTGATATATATGCGTGGATCGATATCTATTCTATAAAGGATCAATTCTGGATCAATTCTATAAGGTTTCTCCAGGCATCGAATATTCGAATCGTCAATAGTGATTGGGATCTAAGTTCATGTGAATTACACGTTAACGTTCACGAGACAAGAGGCGGCCAGTGCGAGATTATGAAGTGCACGTTACTGCCGACCTATGGACTTTCCCTATAGAAAAATCATGTGAATAAATTAAATACGAATTAATTGATCTCTCGGTAAATCGTTCTTACCTCGACGACGAAGTAGAGAGGATCACCTGGGAGGGCGTGTACGGCGAGGTAGCGGCTGGCGGACACCAGGGGTTGAAGGCAGGACCGCGCAGCCGTGACACCGCTACCACGCATGCTGCATGCTTCATGTCGTCGCCGCTACGCCCAGCGTCCTCACTGGAAATACAAAAAATATATTATATAGTCAAATTACTATTTTCTTAATCAGGGCACTTCGAGGGTACCTTTCTTTGAGACCTACGTGAACCTGGCACCCGACTTACTTTTTTACTTACATTTTCAAATCAACCAAGTCAAGAAGGATCATTAACTTTACTTTACCTTCATTTGCATTCTAAACCAGCAACCCTTCGCAGATTTGAGCCAGCTCAAAAAATGCCGGAGTTACCCCTTAGTCAATTTTGAAAATCCTGTATCTCCTTACCCATTGGGGTACAAACGAAACTAACGGTGGTACAAACGGGTAACGATTCTAAATTCATCCCTGCAAACAGAATTTAAATTACTCCAAGTTGGGTGCTAGCGGTTTTTTGACCCCCCTGTAATTTCCAAATCTTTGAGGTACAAACGAAAATTAAAGTGGTACAAACAGGTAGAAACGGGGTACAATCGAATCGCGTATTGAAAATTATAATATTTTTAAGTCGGGCGCCAGGTTCACGTAGGTTTCTTTGGGCCGTGCTCGAACGATCGTTTATTAGGAAACGGGACTAGAAAGAAAAGGTCATTGCAATTGCAGGGATTGGGAAAGAATTTAATCAGCAAGAATTGTCTTTTTGTCTTGAATTACTTCTACCTCATACACGGGTATCTAGATTTCATTGGATATACCTGAGTGACTGTAGCATTTATTGCCGTTGTTATTTTCACACTGTCTAGAACGCGACTAGGGTCCATTATACGTTGTGATAGGAAGTTATGCCGCTTGCTTGACTAACCGGTCGCGTACCGGAAGTGTCTTTTATTCGGCATTAGGCAGAGTTCAGTGGATTACGGCGTAACCGATCGTAGCAACGCTAAATACATATATTTACTCGAGTTTTTACACAGCGATCGATTCGTTCAAGTTTGAATATTTATGTATACGTACGTAGGATTTTAATAGGAATATATATATATATACACGAATTCAAACAAACCGTTGCCTAGCAATTAAGCGATATCTATGGCGTATGAGGCGACAAGTACGCAAGTATACATACATGTCTGTATTGACATAAGAATAACGTAGAGCGTATGTATAATTAACGCTTAAATAAATAAGTGGTAACTGTGTGGTAAGTTAACCATCGACTCATTCACCCGTCATACTTATCTATCAATAAAGGTATATACGTCCCGAGTTAGCTGAGGAGCACGGAGTTCATCGTAATACAATAATAAAATAAGTCACGAGAAATGCGCTAACGATGGCGCCGAGAGAATCCGCGATCCCGCAGAGACTTCGAAACACAACCTTAAATTACCACTGAGGAGACCGACGTTCCGGAGAGGGAAAGAGAGAGGGAAATTAGACGAAAAGAAAGAATTAAAAAAAAAAGAAAAAGGACAAATACGTAAGCTATAAATCGCGCGTGTATTTGCAGAGTTCCGTAGAAAAGGCTCGACCTGAACTGAACAATCTCTTTCTGCTCGTTTCACGAGCAATTATCATGCCTCTCGGAAGGCCAGGGTGTGTTAGCCCTAGGCCAACCAGGCGCAGGGACTCTCGGAGTGGCCTGATAAATTACAGCGGCTCGACGTTCCAGAAAAAGGCACGCAGGGAGTGCGCGCAGAGGGTACGATTTTTCATAAACTTTCAAAGGAGACTTTTCCATAGATAATCCAGCCAGCTACCAACCTATGCATATGACCATATCACGAGGTATCTGGTATATGAAGGCAGGTCGCGTGACCCGACTCTATCCGGAAGTCAACGTGGTCGTTTTTTCACTCAACAAAAGACACATACCAATCTATTCCATAGGATAGATCGTGGTTAGGTTGGCACTAACCACGAAGAACTACCCCGTGACACATGTAGGTTACACGAAGGGTTCAGGATGTTGGATATAGAAGAAAGATTGTAACGTGGTTATACGGAATATACCATAGAATCTACTGTGCACACAAGCCACAGATCATCCCCTCGTTACGATAGCGTAACGCTGAAGATGACAAAGGCCTTGGCAAGCGAGAGCAGTAACAATGCGGCAAGAGGTATGCAAATGGCAACTTTAACCGGGCGCACAAATCACAGTGGCATTTCCGAGGATCCCCGCGAGTGGGTTGGAAACGTGTGTTGAATCCTCCGGGCTCCTTGCGAACCGCGGTAAATCACAGAATCGCTGCCGGCATTACTCTATTTGCATCCGCGCTAGGACTCGCGCTATTAAGAACGTGGGCACGAGTTGAACCGTAAATTGTCGAAATATAATAACAACCCTGAAACAATCATTGGCCATGATACACCGATAAGACGGCAGCGTCTTGTACCGTTGTAAGTGGTGAAGTAAAAAAAAAAAAAGAATACACACAAAAGTTATCGAAGAAATGATCGATGAATCTTTGAGAAAATAAAAAGAAAAAAAAAAATTTGAAAAAAAAAAGCACCAAAGAATTCCCGCAACTCTACGCCCACATCCTTCGGGATACCCTATAGGTATAACAGAGTAGTATGCTCGCTCGGAGTTCCTGGCAGATCCATCTACCTGGACCAATGCATATATTACGCTCGAGGGTCAATATATCGTCATTAGATAGCAGTTATGCATAATGCGTACCCTAGACAGGCACGAGTGCAATTATGTGTATCGGTGAGGATTTCATTCTTTTTTTTTTTTTTTACTTCAGGTAAAACGGTACTCGTTCAATCCACTTAGCCTATATCTCTCGTGTGCTTCAGATGTATGTATGAACGAAGAAGGAAGATCGTATTGCAGGAGAAAGGGAGGGGAGGGAAGATTACCTAATGTCTGATCGGAAGGCAACGTTATCGGTTACCCAAGCGTTAAGTATAAACGCACGTAGGAGGCGGAATATAAACAATGTGAACTACATTCCAAAAGCGTGAGTAACCAGGTCTACCCACTCTCGCCACTTCGTCTTGTTCGTCGATCCTGCCAGGGCAAATCTAGTTACCTGCCTGTAGTAGCGAAACGATCTTACTATATCTATATCTCTATAAAGCCAGTACAGTATTTCGCCTTCTATTCCGACACTGTCTACAGAGATAGGAACTCGCGTAGGTTAAGGGTCAATGGGTCAACTTGCGTTGGTGTACAAGAGTTCGTCAAGATCACGAAGAGATGGTTAATGATCCAATTCGATATCTCTAAGAAATATGAAAAATACATGTGAACTGTAAAATCATCAGACTCTATAAATCAGAGTTAGGAACGCAGCTGGATCTTTCTCTATAGCCCTGCGTTACCCTATATTCCTAATGTTTTTTATTCAAAAAAAATAATAATAATGAGAGGGTCGACGGGGGCGAACCCGTCAACTGAATTTTCCCCTGGGTCACGTAGTCGCTGTTACACGTTAATTAGAAGAAATTAGCAAATCAAATGATCTCGATCTACCCGGCTGCCTAATTAATTAAGAAATCAGGCTTGACGTATGCATCTCGAATCTTTGTAAATTCTCCATCGTCTCGTAAGACAGATCGAAATTGCAGGTTGGTCGAACGACTGAAGCCGCGATGATTTATTTAACAACGATAAATTCTCCCGGTGTTAATACAATACGGCTAAAGGTACTTGTATACGTCAGATCAATCTATTCGTAAGATCGGTAGTAAATTCCCTAAAAACATAGCCTACGTATATATGCATTATTCAATGACACGGAGGGAGTGGTCGTTGGATATAGCGGAAACCATGAAGTATAGTCATTTAGGTCTACTTTAACAGCATTCAGTACCATTCCGAGCGTGGAATCCAATTTGAATATGGTAGACGGCTTTTCTCGGTATGTAAAGTATGAAACGCGTTGGTAACACGGTGATTTTTCAAACCCGTCATCTTGCCAACCGGGCGATCGCGATATAGGATTATTTATATTTACGTCTATCTCGCCGCTGGTATCGGCTACCAAGTGGCTAATAAATTGTATTCGTATCTATCCACAATGAACGAGTTTAATTAACCAATACAGATGAAAACGTGGGTGTGAGGTGGGTTATCAGGTGTACCACGTAGGTCATTATATCCAGTACCCATATCAATCTCATTATCGTCATTACCGTCATTACGGTCGTCATCATCATCATCGTCATCATAATCATCATCATCAAGAAGCTAACCTCCACTATTCTCGCCACCGTCCTCAGTATCTTCTCTACCCTCTCCTGCATCAGTGCATTCCCACAGGCTTATATCCACCCCCCACCCCACCCCACCCCACATTTGCATAACAATAAGTCCTTATATTTATGTTAATGCTAAGTTATGCTAACTACCGCATAGCTGCCTGATAATGCGATGCCAACTTGGTTATGGCCGACCCGGCGCCGACATAGGAGATATAGGTATACAGTATGTATATATATATATATATATATATATATATATATATATATATATATACCGAATAACATAATTCAACAATTCATCGATATTACAATTGGAAATGCGTCCAAATTGTATTGTATGCAAAGTAGTTAGCAGACACGTGTACACAGAAAGACATTGACACGAAGCAACACTAACGCAATAAAAAAAAAAAAAAAAGAAGTGACAACAAAGATGGCAGAGAACTCTATTATGAATTATCTACATAGAAAATTCTATTCTAATTGACTCTTTGCGTTCGTAAAGACCCGATAAAACAGAAACAAGAATGTTCTACGTGACACGAAGAACAGTCATCATTGTTTGGTTGTATCGTCATCGACAATGTTTGTACAAAAATTTTCTTCTCTTCCCCCAATTGCAGTGCTTATATATAGAATCAAGTTGAATTCAAGTATGACTTGTCCATAGATCGAATTGAGTCCAGTCGAGCAAGTCGTCAATTCCAGTCGGCCTGTCTCGCCGTGCAAATTATTTGCAACGTCGCTCGATGATTAGCAGCGGCCGCTTTGCATAATCGTAGATCGTACGTACACAGGAAACAATTAATTTCCAGGGACGCCGTGTGTTGCTCTAACGACGGCGAGCGTCGCGACGTCAAAATCATATCCCAGGGCAACGTATAACGTACACCTGGTACACACGTAGAAGCTATAGCCAGACTACGAGGTTATAACCCGTAATGATAATACAGATATACAGTGCGTGAGTCAAATTTGTGGAATTTTTTAAAAAAACTATTCATTTTATGAAAAACATTTCTAAGCATCCCGACCAGCTGGCACTGCAGCCGTAGGTGCTTAGGCACTGGCTTACTACCTAACTGGATAGTGGGCAAATGGTCGTTTCAGAGAATGGCCCGAGAGTTCTCGATCGCCGCGTTCCGTTGAAATAATTCGTGCCTCGCCACGGCGACTCACGCATTCCCAGCATTCTCTTCTAATGTTCTCGATGGCCAGAGGACGAGAGCCACGTAGAGCCGGAGCGTCGAAGTTCGGAATTTATTTCTACGATAATCGGTAAGCGTTCCGAGTATAGCCGGGAGTGGGTGGCGCGCGAGAACGCGGAAGCGCTGAGCGCGTATCTATGTAACGCGACCATCCCGCGCGTCATTTTCTATGGGCGCGAATGCATTGGACGCATTAGGTATGGATGGAATAGAAGAATGTCAATTCTACCATTAACCGAGGATAGTTTCAATTCCATTAGCGTGTAACGCATTGAAAAGCAGGAAATTATTAAGCATCATAAAATTTATGTAAACATCCTACTCGTCCCTCGTTAACGATAAGAAGAAACTAGGCAGAAAAATTGATAACTAATCTTTACGAGAATACACGACCGACACGTTATTCCGTGAAGCATTATAAAATCAAAGAGATTGACGTTAAAATTTGAAAACAGCACCGAGCTGTACAATCAATATACAGTACACAAAGAGTAGGACACGTGGTTTTACAATTGTCGTCTAGACGCTTAAAATTGCACTGAAAAACATTGCCAAGTAAAAGTCACATAAATCGAGCGTACGTGTATGCGTTACCGTGAAGCAGATACCTATCGTCGTAAGATTACAAGAAGCGTAGCTTCGCGCGGTATCCTTATCAAAAGTCAAGTACCGACAATAAAACGATCGAGCCTGATAAAGATCGGCCGATTCTAACAAACGAGAAGCTCAGTCGTCCGTTCGCCGCGATCCGCTCGACAGTCTGATATAAACATCGTCAGAGTGCCTATAGAGTACGGTAGAGAGAAAAAGTGTCGATAGCCGCACGGCAGGCGGTTCCTCAAAGAAATCCCATGAAAAATTGGAGATCTCAATTAAGAGTCTGTCGCGGGGTTAAGGGAGAAAAAAAGAAAAGGATCGAAGAAATGTCGTCGACACTGGTGATCGCGGATTACGTGGTGATCGTCATGATGTTGCTCGTCAGTTCCGGCATTGGTGTCTATTACCGAATTACGGGTGGAAGGCAAAGAACAACCGAGGTAATTATCGGCCCAGGAAAAGTGCACGTGCCCATGCATCGATCCTCCAATACGTTTGTATTGGCTTTGTCGCTGATCTCTTATCCACCTTATTACCGGGAAGAATATTTACACGGAGTATTTCTCTGACCGAACTACCACAGGAATACTTCGCGGCGAATAGATCAATGAGCGTGACGACAGTCGCTATAGCTCTGATGGCGTCCTACCTCTCGGCGATCAGCCTGCTCGGCGTGAGTTCCGAAAATTACGTTTACGGTACTCAGTACGCCGTGGTCAACATTGGCTACGGACTCGCGACACCCGTCGTGGCCCACCTGTACCTACCGGTCTTCTTCAAGCTGCAGGCGACCAGCGCGTTCGAGGTGAGTATCGTTGCAGGGACACGTGGCACGGGCAGAAGGGCCTGATAGATCGATAATGGACATTAATGATTAATTGTGCTTCTCCAGTACCTTCAGCTACGTTTTGGCAGCGTCGCCCGTCTCGCTGCCAGTCTTGCTTTCTTCACTCAGCTCCTTCTCTACACCGGCGTGGTGCTCTATGCGCCTGCACTGGCACTCGAAGCCACCACGGGACTCTCGAGCACAGCCAGTATCCTTGGGATTGGTTTGATCTGCACGTTTTACTCGACCTTGGGTGGAATCAAGGCGGTCCTCGTAACTGATGTCTTTCAGAGCTTACTGATGCTAGTCGCGGTGCTGACTATCATCGTTACAGCAGCGATTCACGCAGGAGGTCTCGATCGGATCTGGGACACGGCTTACGATGGATCTCGCGTTGAATTTACCAGGTAGACAATTTTTATATCCCGTTAAACGATTAGCGGCCGAATCGTTAATTTCACACGCGGCTAACAGCCTTTCCTTAGATCCCACCGTACGTCACACCTGGTGGAGTTTAGTCATCGGTGGATTCTTCACTTATCTATCGTTATTCGGCGCTAATCAAGTTCAAGTTCAGCGAATGCTCACTGTCAAGTAAGTGGCTATGTACGTTTATTGACTCGTATCGGACACTGTGACAATGTACTATGCTTACACGTTGCATAATAGGGACAACAGCTAGCGGACTGTTTTTGAAAATTTTATATTTCTCAAGCAGCATCGGTTGTCGTTCAGCAATCTCGCTGTGGGTTACGATTGGTTTATTTATTATTGTAGAAATTTAAGATCCGCTCAGAAGGCTATATGGTGGAGCTGGCCCTTGGCCTCCGTCATGTCTCTCGTCAGCTGCTTCTCCGGATTGGCCATCTACGCCAGGTACAAGGACTGCGACCCGCTGTCTTCCGGTAGGATCACTTCCAACGACCAGCTAATGCCGCTTTTCGTGATGGATACTCTTTCCCGGTATCCGGGTATACCTGGTCTCTTTATTGCCGGTATATTCAGCGCTGGTCTCAGTACCGTTTCGGCCACGCTCAATTCTCTGGCCGTAGTTGTGCTCGAGGATTACGCGAAGCCACTTTGCAAAATGAGGTGAGCACCTTTATTTCCCGATCCTCTCAACGCTTTACGATCCCATCGCGCATACGGAGCCGCGATACGGACTTACTCGTTGCGATCGAATCGATCCTTATTGAACTCAATTTACGTAAATCGCTATTCCCGCACTCATTCACGTGCGCGGTCCGACCACGCGAACTGGCAGATTTGCCAGATTTACTTTGTCCTCGTCATACGCTTCCACGACGAGGAGATGGTTATTGGTCAAAGCGCCGATATTTCGGACGCGGTGGTCCATTGGCGCGAGAAAACAATTTTTTTTTTTTTTTTAATTTCTTTACCCAATTTCAGGGGCAGTGAAATTTCCTCGAACGTCTCGACACTCGCGAGCAAGATCATCGCCATTGTCGTTGGGCTGCTCTGCATAACGATGGCCTTCTTCGCTCAATATCTTGGCGGCGTTCTCCAAGCGGCCCTCACGATCTTCGCCGTCGTCGGAGGACCCGTCCTTGGTCTCTTCACGCTTGGAATGTGCACGCGTTACGCTACGCAAAGGGGTGCCGTTACCGGACTGTTAATAGGACTGGCATTTTCAATGTGGATAGGATTCGGTCAGCCAAAGCCGTCCCCGCCGAGGTTGCCAGTGTCGACAGCTGGATGTAACGAAACATACGTATCGGATGGTGCAACAGCTAATTTCGAACGTGCCCAGTAAGAGAAAGACGAATAAATGAGTAAATCTATATATAATAATATTTGTTCACTTATTTAATCAATAACGTATCTATTGATTAACTTGCAGAAGCACGGGCGACTCCACGTACTTTTACCTCTACCGGATATCGTACATGTGGTACTGTCCTCTTGGATTTATCGTATGTATACTCTTCGGATTACTCGGCTCCGGACTGTTCAGATTGATCTTCAAAGAAAATAATGAAAATCTTCATCCAAACTTGTACATGTCAGTTGGAACGTCGCGCCAAGCAGAAGTGCTTGGTAGGAGTGACGAGGTGGAATGTAAAAACGAAACATGACCATGAAATTAAAAATAAAAGTCTTATTTATCATTGTTCAGATAATTATTAACCGCGATGTCTGCGCACACAGAACTTTTCTTCGTGGTTATTCACTGTTTGCCGTAAAGACAGATTGCATCTGCTTCACGCCTGTTTGGCTGAATCGACTTTATGAATGTACGCGGTAATGACGAATTTTCAAGCGCGAATACCATCTCGCCGTAACGAGCAGCAGACGTAAACAGCGGGAGCGCACGGTGTCGAACGTTTACCGAAAACCTCCGCAAATCACTAAGGAATGCCGTCCGACTGGTGTTTCCGCGCGCCATACGGTGACACACGGCACGAACGTAGGAACGAACCAACGACCCGTAAGCCCGCCATGAAAAGCTTACGTAAGAAAAGGAACGTCGACGTGATCAGCGACAACGCGAGCGAACGTCATTAACAGATTTACATGTGCGACGAGGGAGATCGATTGGTCGGAATGTCAAAGCGGGAAAATTCAAAGGCATTAAAAGACAGACCACGAGACAGTTCGTATTTTTAGAGTCGCGTCTCTCCGTCGATCGAGACGCGTGTCCCAGCCCCTTTGTAAGCATTATCAAAAACTTTTGAGAATCAGACAGTGGAATTTCTTACGAAAATCCGAACGCGACGATATTTTTGCCCCGGAAAGAAAAAAACGTCGCGCTGCGGAGCTGCGCGTTTCGTCAGCATAGTTGACATTATTTCGTTTACTCTTCGTTATACGATATGACCACCGCGCTACGAGGTAACGCATACACCCGACATATTTACTCGGTAAAGAGTATTAATAAAATTTGTCAAGTTTCAAAAAAAAAAATCATCAAATACTCATAAAAGTCATTATCTCGCCTAGCTAAGTAGGGTAAATTCACTAGTAAATGAACACCTCAAGAAACGCCTTCAGGGAATGGAAACCCGTGTTAAAGTTACTATATATAGATATACTTTACGTGAAATCGTTCGTTTACCAGGCCCTGCCCATTCGCTGCCCGAGTCACCTCGCGTTGATATACATTTTCTCGTGTACCGATCCGCTCACGAGTACTCAGAGTCCCAAGAACCGCTCGTTAACGATAACCTCGAGAATAATGAAATCCACGAGGCACGAAGAATCGTATAGGAGCGAGCAGGGATGCACGAAATACGTGTCACGTATATGAGTGCAGCAACGTGGTATTAAATAAATTCCATAAAGCGAAACGAGTGCGCGAAGAGCAACGAAGAGACTGCGATGGCGTGTTACTGGCAATGTAGGATCGTAATCGGGCGGTAGTACGATCTAAACGGCCGATAGAATTATCCACGGTCCGTCCATAAATCGAGAAGGAGCGGCCACGATTTTCAGTAATAAAGCCAGGAAATTTCGTGTTTTACGAGGACTTAAATACCGAGCGCAGCTCTATATATACGCGACCGGTAAAAGATTTTATTCCGGAAATACCTGACGCCATCCGGTATATTCCAGGATGGTTCTAAGGTACCTCGACGTACAGACGTACATCTGCCAATCTACCTAGTGCATATTGCTTAGCTATAGGTGCACGTGCACGTGCAAGACGCCCGATCGGGGTTGCTAAGCAACGCCAAACAATCAACGAATATATATTTCTGACTTCCCCACGGTTAAGGATACGCGATCGCTTGGACCCACAACGAAGAGAGAGGACATTGACTTTCGTTGCATAACTTTCGTGCACGGTAAGCGCGAGCATGTGTATACGTACACGGTTGTCCGTATAGGCTTAGTAATCGGGTACAGGTGCTCGCCTACCTGAATAACTGGGTTACGGTAATAGCGTGGAACGTAATCTCCTAATACACGGGACGGCCCTGGCCCCCGTTAATTCTCCCAAGGAGTTCGTACTGTTACCCACTACCGGACCATCTATAGCGTAGAATCGCGTGAGAGTCGAGGGAGAGACGCGTGGTAGTGAAAGAGAGAGAGAGGGAGAGAAAGGAGAAATTAGCAGCGTAAGGAGGTTAGAGAGAGAGAGAGGGGGTAAGTAATTAAAGAGGAATTCGACCGGACGGTAAACACGTGGTTCGGATAATCCACGAGCAATACGAATAGGCGATATATTAATATAGCATAATCTACAATATATAGACATATATACTATACATTACCTAGGATGACGATAGACACTGCGAGGACTCGCTTATACAGGGTTCCTCGTAATTAAAGGAAATAACGAAGCAACGCGAACGGCGCTGCCTTTAAGCCGCGTACTCATTATAATGCCGGGAATTCTTTGCATATAACGAATACGTCCGAGCGGCGACTTCTTGCTGCATTAAGTGGCCCAATTACGCGCAAATTCACGATAGCATCGTATACGTGTATATAGACGTGTGCCTGTCTCTCGTCTCCGCAACGTACTTTGCCATTATCTCACTCGCTCTACTTTATATATCGATATACCTCGCTCGCTCTGACTCTGCGTACCCGCATAGAACAGCTGACGGCTAATATCACGGACAAGGGTGCACCCATGCGGTTCAGCGATTTAACAATAGCAAAGTCGATTGGTAGATAGATCGTTAATACTCGTTAAGCCGCGATTGTCTAGCGATGCTATTACCCAAGATAAATATTCATACGAGGAACAGGCGGGACGACCGGAACAACAAAAAAAAAAGAATTGATTAAAACCTCAGACCACTATGTATTTATGATTTAGTGAACTTTATGGATTAAATTGTTAATATATTTTTTCTTTACTCTAAATTAAATAGTTCATTGAATTTTTCGCGTGCGTGGACATATATATATATATGTATATATCGATCGACGCATCGCTAGACGTAACGCCGACGTGAACGACGATACAGGCATACGCGGCGTTACAGAACCCACGTAGAGGAGCACAGGGAGACTCGTTACTCAGGCCTGGAGTATGCGCCTCCTCGAGGCGCCTATGTATATACGCATATACACGAAACGAAGCCAAGCCAACGTGGCTTCCACGACGGACGCCACGGAGCGTCCTGGGACGTTGAGAGATTTTCGAAATTTCGCGCGCTCCTGCGCTGGCCAATGCGAACGAGGCTGATTTAGGAGGACTGGCCAAATAGTTTATGGCCTCAAGTTTTCCCGTTTCCTCATACCAGGCATACGTGCCTAACGAGCTACGCGATATATAACGCCATTATAATAAACTTGAGCTCTACTACACGAGAGGCGAGCGCCGTTCCTCGCATGGATGCACGCGCTGCACGTGCACAACGTGACTGCGAGATTACAGTGGGATCCGCCAGTCGGAGTCTCGTGAAACGCATATAAATCAACAATGCATATTTCTAATTATGTCATCGTGAATTTCTCGCGGCTTCTCAATCAGCCTTTTACGAGTTCGCCGAGTCGTGGTTTTACGTGCAATTAATGTATATAATCTTTGACTGCTGGGCTCCGTGGATTATTCGGTACGAATACAAGGAATCCTGGGACGCGATTATTATGGAACTGTCGGTATATCGAGTATATCTGTATCACGTGGTGTATGTTAAGACATATATACATATATATGTATATATAGGTAGGAACTTGTAGGAGCGCAGGAGCGACACGCTGAGCTTCATAATTGAATCCTAGAGTTATGCCGCTCCGATAGAAACGAACCTGAAACGAGATGCTGGAAATGGGCTATCCCTATCTCATGCTACAGCCAGAGCTCTGCCACGGGCTACGCCGATTAATTCTTATCCGTGATCTCCCGAGGTTGCTTGTAAAAAGGCACCAAGTATAACCCACGGGGACTACGATAATTTTATATCGACTTACCTAGATTCTCCCGACCTCCGAGTCCCCCCACCACCTAGCTCGCTCCGGATACACCTGCAATCAAAAGACAACGCCATATTTCAATGTCAATAATATTTATCACATTCTTTCTTACTAATTCGTGCGCCATTATCGCAGCAGGCAACTGCGTAAACACATATTCTTAATAATGCTGCCATCATGAATTTTCCAAAACATTCGAATTTTCGTGGCAGCACGAAACATTCGTGTAAGTGGCGGTGTACAATTTCATTTTTTCTTTCTAAATTATACAAAATTCAGTACATCGTTAAACATAAATTTTGCTAAAACACAAAAATTTTACGCTGCGTACATTGTGCGTAACAGTACTCCCCACTCATGTATAGTAATTACCGAAATACGGTCGAATGACAAGTGCGATGGAGTCAAATGAAAATACTCCTAGAGAAAATAAACAGGCCCAACCGCTGGTGCTACGGCATGTGCCGTGCCAAGAGCGTAAGAATTCCTCGAGTGAGGTTAGGTAGGCTATCCGCCGTCGAGAGTATCGAGGGTTCAGGATTGTGGGGTAAGGTCAGGTAGAACCGAAGGAACACAGGTGCACACAAGGCAGAAGGAACGTAGAGTAAAGAGAAGAGCGAGAGGTTCGCGCGGACCTGGTAACTCTTACCACAGGAAACCGGTAGAAAATAGACGCGAACAATGTCTCCATATATACCCAAGTAAACTGCCGGAAGTAGGGGTTACGTATGAGATTCTAATCGCACTCGATTTACCAATACAACCGATAACCCATAAGACTCGGGCTCCTCCCGTCTCACAGAATTGCACCGCCTAAGCCTCGGCGTTCGAAGGGTGCACTGTAATAATCTCATCCAGGGTGCATCGGGCGAAACATTAATTTAACGAAACCCCAAGGAGCGTGTGCGAAGGACTGGCGAAAGATAGCGCTAGCAGCTCATCGGCTGGACGCTGCTCGAAGCGAACGAAGGACGCCCGCATTCCTCGCCGCAACCTGGTATAATACGAGGAATCGGCCGGACAGAAGAGAGTGGGAGAGAGAGAGAGAGAGAGAGAGATAGGGGCGAGTTGTGGGGAGACCTTAACTCTGCTTTGGCTTCTTCTTCTTCTTCTTCTTCTTCATCATCATCCCAACCCTCCCTACCCCGCTACACTTCATCCTCCAACTTTTCTTCCTCCTCGCCTTATTCATCCAGCACCACCTCCTCACACGCAAAAGAGCAACCGGACGGGCAATGCCCGCTTCCATATATCAGTTGACGCGTAACAGCGTATCCTTAAAGCACAGTGTATTATCGCTAACTCTGAGCATACTGAACTTGGGATATCACAAGTCCTGTATGTCAAGAGTACGAGAGGGGTGCAGTCGGTTGAATATTATTTATATGCAATACGGAGGACCGGGCTAAGTATGGGGTTAGGTATACAAGGTAGATCTGTGATCACTTTGAAGATCCTGTGGATCCAAGATCGAACGATCTTTATCGGTAACGAAAAGTATGACGACCGTGTATAAGGTTGGATTTAAAGTGAACTATTTGAGAAAACTGGCTAGATCGGTCTGTTGAGTCGATGATGATCGATCGATTGATCGGGCATCGATCGCAGATGTTGACAAGGAACAATGAAAGCCTAATTTTCGGAGTGATCGTTATCGATCGGGTTCTAGAAGAAAGAACGGGTCACTAGGGGAATTACGGATGGGACGTATTAAACGAAAAAGAGGAAGATGGCGGAAAAAGAGTTTGGTGAAATATATTCAAGCGAACCACCGAACTCTTAATGGCGATCGACAGGCATTACCGTGGGAGGTCGACGCGAGCCAAAGTCACTCAACCGCGAAATCAGCCTAATCGATTCTCTTCGAGTCATGCGGTGTCCCGCTCTTGAATGACCAAAGGAAACGAAATGTCGTGACTCCAGAGCGGCGTCCCTAAACTCACGTCCGGATTATTTCACGTCGGTGTTCCTTTCCACCTGTCAAATCTTTCCTCTGTTCTATATGGCGATTCCTGTATACTGAATGTCATCTAGGTATTAGCTAATTCCTTTCGAGAATTGTATATACACGTACAGTCATACACAAGATAATATATACCATCGGCTGCTAATGGGACGAAAAGAAATGCCAAAATTCGGCAAAAATACACCAGTAGTCGCAGAAAGGACTGTAAGACAATTTAAAAAATTTAATCCGTCCCGCTCAGTGGTTCCAATGAAAGAAGCCCACCGGCTTACCGACAAGACCCATTAGCCAAAGCTAGTCCCACGGGACTCGATGGGAAGAACATGGCGCAACCATGGACATTCCAGAGCATTAAGATCATAATGATTTCGGGCAACGATTCGACAAACCAAGACTAGAATACCATCGTCCAAGACCGAGTGGAAAGGACAGAGTATCTCGCGACTAGCAGCCCCTCAAACATTTCTTCCATCAGCCTCATTATCCAAACCGTAATTCAATCCCGGCCCTCGGCGTAACACGTGACCACGGCGACGCGAAGATTCCACGAAAAATTCCAACCGGAGTACACGCACACCCAAAATCACAAAAAAAAAGAACCACACTGAAATTCCCCCTAGAAAATGTAAGAGTGTCGCGAGCGAAAAAAAGAGAAAAAAAAATTTAACAAAATATAACGTAAAAGCAAACACTCACAGCGACAGAAACGAGCATATAAATAAATAACACTAGTAGGTATTACGAGCCTGAAATTATCCGTAGCCCGTCCGGTTGGGTATAAGGTGGTCCCCTGATGAGATTATAATGTGAATATAATGGCGAGCTACCGCGCTACGCAACCTTTATCCCCCTTGGCAGCGCCGTTCCCCAAAAGTCCTTTCCGTGTTCACATGAGACTTAGGATCGACGCGTCTCTAAATCGAGAGCGACAGAACGACGATGAGTTCAGGATGGCAGTCAGGTAGGTAGGTAGACAGGAGTCATCTATGAAGAAGCAGTTAACTACATAAACGTAATTCCCATACAGTATCACAAAGACGAGCAGAGCCTTGCTGTGGGATCACGAGATTCCGAAGATGAGCCCCTGCGGACCTTAAGAGTCGTAGCTATTGTCCGATGAGAAGCATTGCCAAAAATATCTAGAAAAAGCGACTGGACCGTGTACGGAATGAAAACGAGGGACGGGTATCGTATAGATTTACGAGTGAATCCGTGGCCGCGTGTGGAGGTTGGAATGAAAATCGAAAAAAGTACAAGAGTAGCCCGATGACGCCCAGATGGTTGCGCCATGACTTAGCTCGCTTCATTATAATGCTTGATTAAACTCCATCTATCCAACTAGCCTGTCCTATCGCTCATTCCCATCTAATTTAAGTTTAACTATATACCACGATCCAAACAGCCACGCACTCCCCCTGAACTAGGCACATCGGTTAGTTTCGATATCACGCGACTCCCCGAGATGATCCACCTATCCGTCCCATGAGTATCGTATGCTATAGAAAAAAAACGTCGATGCTCTTGAACGATATATAAATCCAGTATGTGGTATTCCATAATTACAGATACAATGTTACTTCGGTTGATTAGTATGGTAATGCACCTATATAGCCAGTACACTATAGTGCATCACCAATTATGCAAAATACTGCTCATCGCCTGCCAATGCGGTGGCCCTGGCTAAAAATAGTCATACGGCCCGGAGCACGTATGTACCAGCTCGTGTATACGCTATAGGAGCGCCCCAACGTATCCGTACAGTGTATGCGTGCATGAATGACCGATCAGCTTTCTCCAATTTATCGAGTTTGTTGACCTCGTTCGCCTCTGAAATTTTCGTGGATAGCCCAGTCATTCTGATAACGGTCATGATGGAAGGCACGCGTGAAAGATGCCAAGCGCCCGAACCTGGTCCAAACAACCTGACTCGATTCAAGTTTGTACGACGCGAGTCAAAGTCTTAGAACAACAGTCCATTATATATATATATATACATATATATACATACATATATATGTACATGCGCGCGCAGCAACAGGTACGCGTATAGATGGAAAAACATACGACAGGAGTTATCCTGATCCTGAAATGCTCACTGCTACCAGTCTGTAGTTAGGGCCTGCGTGTAATCCCGAAATTCAATTAAATTCGCACGCAATCTGCCTCGCGAGAATGCGCGCGATCTGACACGCGAGCAGGTACGAGAGGAAGGTAGAAAGGCGATGGTAGTAAAAGGAGTGCGAGGAAGAGGAGGAAGATACAGGCCGGTGAGACGGAGGGATTCGAAGGACGAGAGGAAGGAGAAGCAATGGCCGTAAGAGTCTTAAGATATACCACCTAGTGCAACACCTTCCTCGTGTTGCTGTCACTCAATGTCAAGTACCTGCCACGAGTCACCATTATCAATTATACGACACACGCGTAAACCACCCACGGTATACCCGAAGCCCAACGGAGTTAACGTACGTGCGCGATGGTAATAAACGATTATAAAGAAAAATCATAAAAAGTCTCTCTCCTCTATATGGCAACGAGTCGGCCGTATATCCTAATCATATTATCATTCGAACATAACCTTTTATAATCGAGTCTTGCTGACGGATGCTCCTCTCAATTATTATTATACCGAAACAGATATACCTGTACGAGGATCACCATTGCGTCTGGACAGTGAGCCACGTGTACCTGTACGATTCCATAATGAGAAGCATAATAAGGATATCTGCTTCGCGTCCCACGTCATAGCGATTTTATGACGATGAGACAATGGCGCGAACCGCTAAATAAATTTCCGAAAAATTTCCAAGAAACGCGTGGAGACGTGAGATTTTTAAGGACGTGAAAAAAAAAATGGCGGGATATTATATATTCAAATCAAGTTCAGCCAATATGTGTGTATATATATAGCAGTATCTAGGTATGAAAGAGGCGCAGAGAGTGCGCGTGGGAAGGATTCGCTGGAACCGAAAAATTAGCATGGTGTAATCGAGAGAACCGAGAGAGAATTCGTAAGCATATGTGCTACGAGCAACACCACTGACCGTGTGAACTTTCTTCCTACTGCTTATACCACTTTTTTCGTTTC